TCCACTGAGTGCTATGGGTGGGGTATTTATGATATCTCAAGGAAAAGAATTTTCTGAGACTCACACAGGAGAATGAGTGATTTTTATTTGTGTGGAATTACTTCCCTGTGCTTCCAAAGTCCCATTCCAGTTATAGAAGGAGTACAGCTGGAGTTTCAGTAGAGCTAGAAGTGAAGCCTGTGTCCAGAGTTTCTGTTCCATGTTGCAGCTGAATCCAGTTCAATATCCGCCAACCAGGAGTCTATTAGTCCACTGTGTGTGGGAGTCTACATGGTGGTGAGCCATGTGGGGGAACACAGGAAGCAGTAGTGAGAGAACCCCACAAGCCAGCAACATGCCAAGAATATGAACTCCTTTTTTTACAAGATTTAATATCCCAAATTTCACATTCTTGCAGTGGCTATGCCCATCCTGGCCAATGACCTGTTCACAGGTGTGAGTGACAGGCACGTACTTTCCTGACCTCACTCCAACTTTACCAGGCATGCATCTATCCTCCCCTTGTTTAGTCCCTTCCCCCAGTCATCTGCAAAGGATAGACTGGTGGCTCCTTGTAAAACTTTAGCTTCTGGGTGAAGCTGCCCAGATGACATGCCTATAATATCTGGCCTTCCCTTTGCTCCTTTCCTGTTATTAATAACTAGGTTAATTACAACTGTATCATTTTTTGCTGTGGGTGGAAGACAGGCTCTTACACGGGATTGTGAGAAAAGCATTTTAATGATTCACACATGGAGATTGTGGTGTGGTGGCATGGTTTATTAATGATGTAATAACAAAAGAGTTCTCCTACTGGCTTCCCAATGTCCAATCTCCCTTTGTCCCACCATGGAGAAAAAGTACAACTGTGTCTTCAACAAGGTCAAGTCAAAGGCCAGTGCCCAGAGATTCCACTCCATAGTCCTTCAAGCCTGCGCAGTGAGGGTTCTTGGGTAGAGGGAGGGAAAGCATAAACTAACAAGCAAGGGTGGGTCACGGTGTGAGAGAAAGAGAGAGGAAAAGGGAGAGAAAGAGAGAGCTTCTTTGTATACTCAGGCTTGGAAGGAACCAACAGCTTTTTCAAAATAATCAATCAGCTTCCCAAACTTTCATGGGCTTGCATTGGCTCCACCCTCCACCCCTAACCTCCTACCCCTTGGCCAATTATCTTTATCCCACCTTAGATTGACAGGTTTCTGTGGTCCAGCATCTCCCACTGCATCATTTTGACTTTGCACATGTCCTTATCTCCCTCTTTGTTCCATCCCTTCCCCCAGAGATCTACAGGGATTGGAAGGGTGGTTTCCTGAGGATCATGAGGTTGTAGCTTCCTAGTGAAGCAAACAGGTTCAGTGTCCCAACTCCCTTTTGTGTCCTTATCTTAATTAATATATAGCTAACTAGGGTAACACTTTTACCACTCAGGAGAAATTATTAGGTGCCTGCTCCTGACATCAGTTTCTCTGGGCACAATTTAATACAGTTCCCAAATAGGGCTGTGAGGTAATATTATTACCATCTCCAGTGTCTCTTTATTCTTATTATCTAATTGTTTTTGCTCACTTTGCTGACTTTTAGCAGGGTGAGGGGAAGAGGTGAAAAGGCAAAGGTGAAAGGCAAGGGGTAGGAGGGAGGAGACATGTTTGTGGGCCCCACTGGGCGCAGGTGAACATGTGGATTTGGCCTAACAACAGGGCCCTATGTTTACCAACAGCTCACGAGAAGAATGGGATTCAGATAAATTCTTGTACAAATCCTTCTCCCAAGCCCTCCTCAGCAATTTCACAGTTGAGGAAAGTTCAATAATGTAGAAAAACGCCTTCTAGGCCTGCACAATGGTTATCTTTATGGATGAGTGGCCATGAACTCATTATCAGAGATTCTCTTGTGCCAATGATAGAAATCAATATTTGCATTGCATTTTGCAATTTACAAAATTATTATATTTGTTGTTTTCATATTTTTAACATTATTGGGAGTCAGGTATTTTTACAACATCCTCCCAGTCATCTTTTAACCTGAAGTGCTCAGAATGCGCTTGAAAAATGAAAGGAGGTCCTTGTGATTTAAAGCCCAGTTTCTTTAGGGCTCTTAATATGTAGTGGTCAAAGGAGTAGGAGTTCTGGAATCATAGTGTGGGCTCAAATCCCATTTCTACGTCAGCACTGTGCACCCCTTAACAAATTATTTACCTGTCTGAATCACACTTACCCCACAGGGCTATTTGGGGGATTAAATAAAACAAGGCATGGAAAGTACTTAATTCAGTACTTAATTAATAAATGCTTGCTCGTTATAATGTTTAATGATTTTTTCTAACTGCCTGGTTGCCATGACTGCCCGAGGACCCACCTGGGAGCAGTCATTTTTTCTGGCCAGCACTTCCTGCATCCAGGGCTTACACATACTTTCTCCTTTATTCCAAAATTGAATGCTTTCAGCAGCCTGAGAGTGACGCCTCTTAATTCAGGGAATATTTAAACAATGAATGGCTGGGGACATGTCAAAACTCTTGTCCTCTGAATAGTCCCAAAATGTAACAATATATTGCTAAAGTTTAGTAAATTTTACATAAAGCTGCTTGAATTTCTTTCAAGAAAAATCACCTACTGTGAGAATAAACTCTCCTAGAGAAAAAGTATGAGAAAAGTCACAATCTTCTCTTGTTTCATCCAAAAATGCCTTATCATTTGTTTTCATAATCACAATGCGTTACATTTTGCCAGGACTGTGCTTGAGCCAGAAAAGTGTATATAAGCTTGGAGAAGAGAGTGAATTTACCCTAGCTTGATGTCTTTCCTGGTTACAAACTTTAAATGCACATTAACTCCTAGTGATTGTCAAGGCAAGTGAAAGTTCCTACATTTTCCAAGGAAAATACCGTTAGGGATATGGTTAATGTTCTCAATAAATCCAAATAAACTAATGAAAGAGATCTGCAATGCCCCTTTTGCTTGCTCTATCCTGAAGGCACAATTCCCTAGGATTTTTCTTCCCTCCAAAAATCCAGTTAAATATTTATAAAGGTGTCCTGGAAATAATGCTCATTTTCTATCTCATCTCAGTTGAAATTTCTGGCAGGTCAGAGCTAACAGAAAAATGAAAGCAGCCTGGGTTCTTTGGCGCCCTCACTTGGGTCTTTGGGACATCTCAAAATTAACTCCTGACTAACATGAAATAAATGTAATGCAAAGATCATTCTTTTTACCAGACTCAGCACTTGCCTTTTTTCTTTTTCTTTTCGCTATATCTCTTAACATTTGAGAGTTTGAAGAGTGAAGTCATCATGTGGGTTCAAATTCCATCCTCACTATTATTAACCATGTGGCCATTGGGATAATTTGCTTAGCCTCTTAGTAACTCTGTTCTTTTTTTTTTTTTTTTTTTTTTTTTTATCCTCACCCGAGGATATTTTTCCATTTTTTGTACAGATAGAATGGGAGGGAGAGAGAGGAAGGGAAAGAGAGAGAGAAACATCGACGTGAAGGGACACATCGAGTGGCTGCCACCCGCACGACCACCAGGGCCGGGGACAAACTGCAACCAAAGTACGTGCCCTTAGCGGGAACCGAACCCGGGTCTCTCCGGACCGCAGGCCGACGCTCTAACCGCTGAGCCAAACTGGCCAGGGCAGTAACTCTGTTCTTAACTACAAAACAGGACAACCTTATAAGAGTTAAATGCACAGAGAGCCCTTAGAACTTTGTAGCATGATTCCATATGTATTGCTGTATTATTATTATTATTACATTTATATATAATATTATATATATTATATTATTATTATTATGCTAGTGGTTGTTTCCTCAAGCACCTGTGGTCTGTTTTAATGTGGGTTCTTTAGATATCTGTATCTACTTTCTACATGAAATGATTGCACAGTAATGTTCAAGTGTAACAGAATGTGATTATCAAAAATCAAGGATGTATCACTAGAATCAAAAAATGCTGTATTATTTTTTGTTAAGGTGAGTCTGGGAAAAGTACACATTAGCTGAAGAAAAGTCTATTCTAATGGTAAAAGCCTGGACTAGAATTCAGGAGACCTCCATCCTTGATCTTAATGTTGCCTGTTTTGTTTTGTTTTTAAAGGATTCAGGTCACTATTATATATATGTATATATGTTTTTATAGATTTGAGGGAGAGAGAGGAAGGGAGAGGGAGAGAGACACATCGATGTGAGAGAGACACATTGAGTGATTGCCACCCACATGACCCCAACCAGGGCCTGGGACAAACTGCAACCAAGGTACATGCCCTTAGCAGGAACCGAACCCAGGACTCTCAGGTCCATGAGCCAATGCTCTAACCGCTGAGCCAAATCAGCCAGGGCAATGTTGCCTGTTTTATTAGTTAGCTATGTGACATTGAATAAAGCTACTCAATATTTCTTATCTCAGATCACCACTATAAAATAGTAATAACTGTACCTGGCTTGACTCTCTCAGAGGGATATTGTAAGGATCAGTTGAGAACATATACAAGTTTTTATTGTGTTCTGATGTTATTTTGTAGTATTGAACATCTGCCTGATGAAAAGCAAATTTCTATTGGATATGAGATCAGCAAATGTGTTCATTTACTAGAAAAATGACTAGACTGAGAATTAAACAAAATCTTGGATTACTAGTCACATAATGTTGGGCAAATCAAGATTCAAAGACCTTAGTCTTCTCTATAAAGCTGTCCTAGTAATCTGTGATCTACCCTACAGGCCAGATGAGATTATGTGTAAGAAAGTGCCCTATTAGTTGGAAAGATTCTTGTTGACATAAAATATTTTATACTCATTATTTATATAATTTAAAAATCCAACCATTTTAGCAGTTGTTGCCAAAATATATATTTTGGATAATTAATGTCTCAAGGTTAAATCCCTTTGTACTAAATATTTAATTCGTGTATATTGCAATTGTGATAATGTAATAAATTTATATTATCTTTTTTCTTATTAGGACATTCTTTTCTTCAGTGAATCAACATGAATGTAATTTTGGACACCTTCACATTTTCGGGAAAAATGTTATATTATTTTTTAGAATCTTTAATTTACAAGGTAATACCTAAGGGAAAAAAGGATGTCACTGGAGAGATTGTACTTATAACAGGAGCTGGAAGTGGAATTGGGAGGTTAATGGCCATAAAATTTGCCAGCCTTGGAGCCATTGTAGTTCTATGGGACATTAATGAAGAAGGAAATATGGAAACGTGTAGACTGGCCAAACAAAAAGGTGATGAGAAAGTATTTGCCTATAAGTGTGACTGTAGCAACAGGCAAGAGGTCTACAAAGTTGCTGATCAGGTAAGGGAATTCACATTCTTCTTAGCTTCCATGGCCTATCAAAATATTGATTCTAATATGTGCTTTCACAAAGAGAGGAGGAAAAAAGTTTGTCATAGACTTCCTCCAAGGTCTCTGTGTGCCTCTTGCATGTCAGGAATCTGACACTATAGCCTTCACAAAAAGGCATAGAATAAAACAGTGCAAGTGGGAATCTAATGAGCCTTCTGAGTTGTTGCGCAACTGTTTTCCTTAGCAACTTATTTACTATCAGGGGTCAGAAGAAACTAAGACTAGTCCTGGCTCTGTTGCTCATTGGTTTTGCAATTCTTACCAAGTTACCTGCCCTTTCTAGGTCTTGGACAAGATGACAGTGACCATTAGGTTTTTCTTAAATATACAAGAATACCTTACATTAAAGATTCCATCTCTTTTCAGGCCCATGTTCCTCCCCTGCAATTAGTCTAAAACAAAGCACTTGCTCACATTGATCCCCTCGTCAAGTCAGTGGAACGTTCTTCTCGAAAAGTTAGGCTCTCCTGGACGTCTTCTTCTGTCTTGCATCTCCCCAAAGTATAGGAGTCTAATCCCTCAACCCAATGTCAGCTCAGCAATATTAACCCATCTTTCAAAACTTGTTCGACTTAACCACATCAGGAGCAACATTTACCTACTATCTCCCAATTGTATTGTCTGGAAGGCTCAACATGAAGCAATACATGGACCAGAAATTAGAAAACCAAGCCAAGGCAGGTAGTGCTTCCTGTTCAAAAACAAAAAAATCAAAACAGATTGCTGTACCAGCTCCAGAGATCCAGTTCAGGGCAAAAAGAAAGTCTCCAAATGGTTGTTTAAACATGCATCATGATTTGCCTCTGGGCCAGCTTTATCCCTAACATCCACAAAGCCATAATTTGAGACAAATTGTGAAAGAGAGAAAATCCCTGCAGTGTTTCTGGAGCACATTTGCCTCTGAGTAGAAAGGGTAGAAAGGGCAAGCAGGCAAGGTGGGCAACGCAGAAGGGAAGGGTGAAGGAAAATGCTGGAGCATAGCTATGGACCTCAGGGAAACATCAGCCACAAACAGGAATTATATCTGGGGAGGTCTTTTAAGCAGAAGTGCACAGGCTCTCTGGACAGTGGGCCAAACACATCTGTATTTGGGATGTCTTCATGCCAAGCACTGTCCAGGCTCTAGGGGAATAAGATATGTTCCTGCCACCCAACTCACAGGAGAGTCAGGAAGAAGACATGTACAGAAATAACTATCAGGTACACCATGCTGAGGGGAAACCTAGACATTTGGAAGCATGCTGAAAGAATTAGACATCACTCATGCAACACTCTCAACATTAGCAACCAGCAGGGAAGGGTTAGTAGCACAACAGAAATAGGAGGTAGAGAAAAAATGTAATATTAGGTCATCTCTACACACACAAAAATTAAGATTCTTTATATAAAATTGATAAATCACAGTGGTTTTGTTAATATAACTGATCATAAAGTTACTTTAAAATTGCTAATGTTCCATGTGCAAGATCAAATACTTAGTTTTAAAAAAACTACCTGAATAAAATGAAAAAAAAAAATTACCTGGAAAAATAAACATGAAAATGCAACACCTCAAATGAATTAACATTCACCTCACTTCTGTACAGGTTAAGGAAGAAGTTGGAGATGTGACCCTCCTCATTAATAATGCTGGAGTTGTGACAGGAAAATTGTTTCTCAACACTTCCGATGATATGCTGGAAAGGTCATTTCATGTAAATGCCTTAGCTCATATTTGGGTAAATCTTCATTGTTTTTCATTTTCTTTTGTTGATAAGTATGAAAACTCCATGTGTTTCTGCAACCAACTGTTCAGCCATTTATCTGTAAATATACCCTTTCTGAATTTCCCATTCATAAACTACCGGCCTCTCATCCAGGTTTCACTTTGCCACACACTCAGCTTAGCTTTTCCTATTCTTGCCCTCTCCAAACTCTCAGCGTAGGGCCCTTCCCTCTATCCTCTCTAGTTTGATCTCGAGATGTATTATGCTATTCAGAAATCTTTCCACCAAAATACAAACAGAATGTGACAGCCATTATACAAAAGAGATTTAATTTGTTCATGAGCAAAAAGGGAGCTTGTGCAGACAGAAAGTGGCTATTTTTAGAGTCATGGTTTATGTGTATGTACAGCTGGGCATTAAAACAATGGAAATAAGCTCTCACTGTATCCCAGGCACTGCTCTGAGTTCTTTTCCTGCACATGGCAGCCATGGGCCATTTCATTCTCATTTTACAAATAAGAAAACTGAGACTCAAAGTGTTTAAATGACTTACCCAGGTCCTGCAACTACTAAGTAATTGCCCAAACTTACATTAAGAAGAAGCAAGAGAGAAAGGAGACTCTTTATAGAGGGAAAATTAGTAAATTTCTAACTCAGAACTATTTTTCTTTTCTTTAAAAAAAATTTTTTTTTTTTTGGTTAATCCTCACTGTAGGATATTTCTTCCAGTGAATTTTAGAGAGAGTGGAAAGGAGGGAGGGGGAGAGAGATAGAGAGAAATATTGATGTGAGAGATACTCATCAATTGGTTGCCTCCCACACACACCTGACCAGGGCCAAGAATCAAACCTGCAATCCAGGTAAGTGCCCTTGACCGAGAATCAAACCCTTGACCTTCTACTGTGCAGGCTGATGCTCTATCCACTGAGCCACACTGGCCAGGACTGGGCTGTCTTTCTTGAAGCCTAGATTGTCTAAATTAGCACTGTCTAGTAGAACTACCTATAATCATGGAAAAGTTCTTTTTCTGTGCTTCCCAATGTGGTAGCCACCAGTTGCCCACAGCTTGAGCTCTTGAAATATGGTAGGTGGGCCTGAGGAACTAAACTCTTAATTTCATGTAATTTAACTTATTTAAATGCATATTTAAATAGCCACATATGCCAAGAGGCTTCCATTTTGGACAACGCAAGTCTGGAAAATAAAAAGGAGGCTGAAGAAGACTTGCATTACCAAGGGGGCTTATACTTGAAGCTGTGATGAAATGAACAGATACCAGCAGGGGTGGGGCATGTAGGAGGCACAGGTGGCTGGAACTGGGCCTTGGGAGTCATGGGGAAGGAAGGGAGAGGCAGGGCCTCAGTCTTTTGTGACTCCAAGGACAGGGCCTTGGAATGGGTTTATTTTAGGTATCCCAGGCTACCCTTTCTTTCCATTCAGTGCTTCTCTACTTACCATCTAAGGTCCTCAGAACTATTCTCTTGATCTTCTTTCTTGGTCACTGAAAAACCTCACTGGAACCCAACAAACCTTTTTCAACCAATATTTAGTGAGCACCTCACACAGTACTTGACATACAATAGGTTGCATAAATGTTTGTGAAATCACTGATTTCTTTCCCTCTACCATCCTACATAAAATTTATTTGGGAAAGGGAAATATCATCTTGGCATATGGAGCTAGGGGGCACCCATATCCAACCACACCACAAATATAGAAGCCATCTTTGATTCCTCCAATTCTGCCAACATCCTTGGTTCTCCCTACAAAACATGCCCAAGGGCACTCATCTCTCTCCTTCTCTGCAGCTAGTCCTGGCCCTATACATTGTTATCTTTCACCAGCAGCTCAACATGGCCTCCATCCTCAACACTGGTGCTTTCTAACTTGTCTTCAGACAGGAACAAAGTGATCTTTAACCAAATCATCTCACTCTCTTGCTCAAAAATGTGCAAACATTCCAAATGCACTTGGAACAACATACAGTTACCTACCATGGCTTGGAGGCCCCTACATGATATGGCAATATCCTCCTACCTCTGTGGGCCGCCTCTCATTTTCTCTACTTTCTGCTCACTTTCTATACTCCAAGGATCCTGAAAGGACCCCAGAGCACATCAAGCTCTTACCTGTCTGAGGGTCTTTGTCAAGCTGTTCTCTCTAACAAGAATATTCTTTCTCCTGACTCTCACATGGTAGCTCCTTCTCATTTTTCAGTCTTCATGTCACCTCTGAACTTGTACCATTATATTGTGTGTCCTAGTCTGTTTGGTTTCATTCATTTACATAGTTACAGAAAAGGTATTAATAAATATATATATTTATTTTGCTTATTAATTTTAATATGCATTAACATATATGGTCTAAAACACATAAAATATACATATAGTTATATATCAATATCATGATTGGCTTTCAATCATAACTTTAAAATATAACTTTATTATCATATTAGAAGATGCAGTGTATGCCATATTAAACTTATCTTCTCAATTCAAGCTTTAGAAAGACAAGTCAAATTTGTGCTAGCTTACTCTATACCTTTGCTCTATGAATTTTAATTTTTAAAACTATTTTATAGATACCAAAGATATCTTATAAATTTACCCACATTGATATCATCTTAAAGTATTCAAGTCACTTAAGTTGATACTACAGAGAACCATAGTCACTGGAGATATTAAAAGGATGTCAAAAAGATAACATGGCAGAATTGTAGAAGACAGTGCAAGTGGAGTAACTAAGTCCAAACACCTGGCATAACTATCTGAAGTTCAAAAACACCAGTCCTTTCAAAGTTATTATGTTGTAATTCAATTTAACTGAACACATATTTTCATTCATCATAACCTGAAATATTTTATCAAAACAATAATAACTTACTTATTTGACCTATAACTAATGTGAAAAAAACAAACTAGCCCAGCCAGTGTTGCTCAGTGGTTGAACATCAACCCATGCACCAAGAGGTCACTGGTTCAATTCCTGGTCAAAGCACATACCCAGGTTGTAGGCCAAATCTCCACATCAATGTTTCTGTCTCTCTCTCCCTCTCCCTCTCCCTTTCTCTCTCTCTAAAAATCAATAAAGGAAAAAAGAACTAAAAAGTCCATTAAATAGGCTTTTCCATGAAAAAAGCTAAGTCTTACATCAAACTCAACAAAGTAAAATAAAGCAAATCTGATGCTTTTTTTGCATTATATTCCGCATGTGAAAAAATCAGAGAAAATAGATATAGTTGTTTCTCTAACAAGTCTCATTATTTCGTAGATTTACCTTGATTATGAATAATGTGTAAACCTGGATTGATATATATTTTCTCTATTAAGTTCCCCATTTAAAAATGCATTTTACAAGTTTCATTAATTGTTCACTGAACATTTATGCATTCATTTTTCTTCTTTTTAATGATGGATATCTATATAGTGAGAACAACTAATGGATTTTTATGATAAATTCACCTTCTAGAATGTCCTAAAATGTCCTCACTGGCACGTAGGACAACAAACACAAACAGACCCTTGAAATACCCAGTCACTTTTTCTCTGTGAAGAAAAACTTTTCTTAATTGAACACAGAAAAAGAAAAGTGGTCCCAGCCTTGGCTGAAAAGCAAAAAAACGTACAGATACATTTGGGTGGGAGGGGGACACCTCGTGGGAAAACAGACAAAACAGAACCTGTGCAAGTGACTAGATCCCTGTACGTAGGTAACTGCCTACCCTAATCCTTTACTTTTTATTGTTCTTTACATTTGTAATACTTTAAACATTTAATTAATAATGTTAATCTAAATGACATTTTTGTTATGTGATCTTTTCCTGTAGTGTTTATAACTGTCGTAGTTAAATAATATATTTAATGAATTAGCTAAGGGAATATTTTTGTTAATATTAGAAATATTGTGTTAAATATTTTTCAAAACATTGCATAATAATATTAAGATGTTTATGTCAACATTTTACATTTAACATGTTCTGCTTAATTCAAAACCTTAAATATCATTAAATGATAAAAAAAAGATACCCTGATCCTTTTAAATTTCACCAGTTTTCAGCCATATGGTAGACTGCTATAGGCCACTACCCTTTTTCCCTTTCATCTAAGGAGTTTCATTGCCTCACCCCATGAAATTTCTTATTAAAAGTAACACTGACACATACCTTTAACTCTGTTACTCAGCTTCACCTAACTGAAAGTTTGCAAACTTTCAGACACTCATAATGATTCTGTAGCTGGACCTCCAGTCCCTACATCCCAGATCATCATTCTAGATATACCCTCTGGAGCCCAGGCTAGATTTTTCATACATTTCTGCTGAACGACAATAACCAACTCTTGCCATTTCCAACTAGCCTGCAGTAATGACAGATACAATGATATTTTCTATTTTGAATTTTTGGGGAAAATAAAAAAGAACAGCACAAGACAAACATATAACATGTTACCACATTTGAGCATGAATTGTCAAAAAAAAAAAAAAAAAAAAGCCAGTTATCTATAGCTAAGCAGAAACTCACCAATCAATTCAATCCTGGAACAAGGTTAATCAGACCCGAAGACCTGGAAAGCAAGATGACATTCTTTGAACCAGTAGCTACTCCCTGCTCTATTGGGTCCTTGTAGGTAAGCACATCTCAGCAGGCTCTGTAAAACTCTTAACACCAAATTCTGACATCATTAAAATCATAAATCTCATAGGAATAGATGGTGAGCACTGTCTTCCAAGGTTTTACTTAATTCATTTATGGAAAAACCAGCAGAATAACACAGCTAATAAATTGATGATATAAGGAATTTAGATTTGTACAGTCAATGAAAAAGAATGCAATTTGTTAGCTACATAGGAGCTTCCCTAGACCATCAGCCGATTTCTCAAAAGAAACTTTGCGGGCCAGAAAGGAATGACAAGAGACGTTGAAAGTGATGATAAGCAAGGGCCTACAACCAAAATTACTCTATCATGCAAAGCTATCATTTAGAATTGATGGACATATAGTTTCCCAGACAGGAAAAATCTGAAGGAGTTCATCATCACCAAACCAGTATTAGATGAAATGTTGAAAGGTCTTCTTGAAGAAAAAGATAAAAAATATGGACAATAAAATGGCAATAAATACATATCTATCAACAATTGAATCTACAAACAAAATGAACAGGCAGAACAGAAACAGAATCATAGATACAGAGTTGCCAGATGGGAGGGGGGCTAGGGAATGGGTGAAAACGTGAAGGGATTAAGAAGTACAAATTGGGTGTTAGACTGACAAACCTCAAAAAGAAGGGAGAAGGGGCGCAGGAAGAGATAAATCAAATAATTTCTATGCATATATGCATAATCAATGAACACAGAAAATAGTGTGGGGAAGGCAGGAGGGGTGCAGGAGCAGGGGAGGAGGGGGTCAATAGGGGGAAAAGAAGGGACATCTGTAATACATTTAAAAATAAAAATTTTACACCTATTAGTTTTCTACATGTTATTTTCTAATTTTACAGGATTGTGAAACATCTGGGTCCCAATAATTAGTCCAAGTTGCGTTGCCAAGAGAGTTAGGTGTACCTCAAGCAAAATTATTAGAAAATGTTCTAGTATGTTGAAAATCACACAGTCATCTCTTTGCCTTATTTCCAAGTTTTGGATTATTATTTCTGAATAGATATTTGATTAAAAAGTCTCAGCATTAGAGGAAAAGAGAATGAAGAAGTTCCTTGAGAGAATCTAAGAAGCACAGAACTTTTTCATGGCATGGGATTTTAGGACACTGAATTAATATCTTAGTTGAGGATGAATAAGTGAATTTTACCAAAATAGCTAAAATATTTATATGTTATGGTAGACCATTGCAAAGCACTTTATTTACCAGATTGAGTTTTCTTTGCATTGAATCTAACCTTTTTTTGAGCAGTTTTTCCCATGCTGTCAATTTATTGACTTAAAGAGGAATCTTGTTTATCATAAAGCCATGAAAATGAATGTGATTATATTTTAATTCAAATTGCTGTAAATTACAGGAAGAGCTTAGTATATTAATAAGAATTAGGTTTTAAGGTTTGTTTTTTAGCAAACTATAAATGTAAAATGTTGATTTAATTCAATTGGTATAGTTAACTTAAAAAGAAAAACAAGTCAAATAGTATTTCTTATAGATTAACAGATAATAAATTTTAAGACCCTTAAGAACAGTGACTGCATGGTACTAGTGACTATTTTGCACTGCTGTATGGGATTTAACACGTCGTAAGTGAATCTGTAAATTCATTAAATACTTATTGAACTAATAAATAATAAATGAATGAAATATTAACACAGTATATTTATATCTTCCAGACTTATAAGGCCTTCCTTCCTGCCATGTTGAAAGCTAACCATGGTCACTTGGTTTGTATTGCAAGTATAGCAGGGTTACTTGGTGTTAGTGGACTCTCAGGTGAGTACTTTATGTGTCTTTATATTACCCGTCCATGGCACCCAGAAATTGGGATTCTTTCAAAGTATAAAAACTCTTCCTGCACCAAAGTAAATTTGACTCTATTTGTAATACCAGCGTTACATTTTCATATTTAAAATGGCAGTGGTAAGGGGAGATATTCTCTTCTTTAAAAAAAACAAAAACAGAAAACAAATAAAAGAGCCCTGGCCAGTTTAACTCAGCAGTCAGAGTGTCGGCCTGCAGACCAGAGAGATCCGGGTTCAGTTCCCACTAAGAGCACGAACCTCGGTTGCTATTTGTTCCCATCCGGGTTGGGATCGTGTGGGTGGCAACCACTCGATGTGTCTCTCTCACATCGATGTTTCTCTCTCTCCCTCTTCCCCCCTTACTCCCTCTCGCTGTATCTGAAGATAAATGGAAAAGTGTCCTCGGATGAGGATGAAAAAGTATATATATTAAAAAACAGATGAAAGAATGGGCCTCTTGGCTCATTAGTTTTCTTAGGTTAAGAGAAACTGAAATAATGCTTTATCCCCAAGGACCCAAGGATAAACCATAAAAAAGATAGTTTCAACTTTTAAAATAATTATAAAAATTAACTTGTCAAATTTTGTTACTAACAATTTTTTATTTTGTTTTAGACTATTGTTCAAGCAAATATGCAGCTGTTGGCTTTGCAGAGTCTCTCTTCTTTGAATTAAGACTAGTACTGAAAAGTAACATTAAAACCACTATTATTTGCTCATCTTTCATCAAAACTGGAATGTTTGATGGTGTTACAATAAAGTAAGTGAACACTTACAGTAACCATTGCTCTTATAATAATCTTCCAATATATGTCAATTATCTTTCTATTTTGAAGTTTTGAACTATGCACAGACAGTAAAGCACAAGAAATAATTTGAATGCCTAATTTAGTAAAAGAAAAAAAATTAAGCCCTGGCCAGTTTGGCTCAGCGGTTAGAGTGCGGCCTGCAGACCAGAGAGTCCAGATTCAGTTCGCGCTGAGGACATGTACCTCACTTGCAGTATGTCCCTGGCCCTGATTGGGGTCGTGTAGGCAGCAAGTCTCTCTCACATCGATGTTTCTTTCTCTTCTTCCCTTTCTCCCTCCCACTCTATCTGAAGATGAATGCAAAAAATAATAATAATTATCATTAAATAATTAAGTTAATGAATGTATTTAATTTAAAGATAATAATATGGTTATTAAATTTATAGTATGGTGAAAACTTAAACCTAAATTGTTCATCAGAATAATATAACAGAAAAATTAGTACAGATAAATTATTAAAATATTTAGCTTTATGGTATTGGGAACATAAGTTATTTTCTAACAAGTATACTGAATTAAAAATAACCCAAAAATAAACTATTTTGTAATTAATATAAGTGGAAAAGTTTTGGGGGGATGTGTATTTTGATATAAAGGTTATACTTTGTACAATAGTCCAAACAAAGATGCAAATGAAATATATGAGAGCTTTTACACAAAGAAGCCAATCAGTCAAATATATTGAAACATATAAACATGTCTGAGAGCAAGTGTAGTCATTATAATCACTGAAAAGGAGACAAACATGATCCAAATGACATGAATCAGCTATAATTGTAGGAAAGAGAGAGAGCCAACAAAAAAGGCTAGCTAGAAAGCAATGAGACCCTTGAGAGTCTAGTAAAACTATAAAATTAAATAAAAGTGCCAAAACAGGTGGTGAAGAGTTCTCAGAATATCGATGGGGAAATCTCTCATAAAGACACATCTATTTAGCTGGTCAAAATTAGCAAAGATAATCATTCAAAATCTTCAGAGATTGTTCAAACGCATGCAACAAATCGATGTGTTTATTCAAGAAAATCTAGGGGAAGGCCATGACATTTGGGCTAGGGGCTACACCTATCCACCCACAGCTCTGCCTTGCAGAATAACTATTTTCAGTGGGCTTGGCAAGCAAGTAACAGTTTCCAGTTCCCCCAGCTCCCTGGGGTAGAATACTATTCTGGGTAATTTGGAAGTGAGTAAACATCAGAAGATCCCATTTTCTGTGGAAGGCCTATATTGAGTATATAGACTCAGCAAGACAGTATTTGTTCCTTTTCCCTCAACACCCACTGGGTAGGAAAGATCAGAGGAGAGGTTATTATTGGTAAAGAGAGCAATTCCTCTTTCCAGGACAGCAATTTGTTGTTAGAGAGCCACACTAGTAATTTCAGCAGTCAAGTTTCAAGTCCCATCCCTACCATCTCATTAAGTTAGAAGACTTACTTTAGGTACATTCACTAGAGAGTACATTTTGGCAGATCCCAAACTCTGAGTCTCTGTATTGTGGAATATACATAAAGGGTAATGGCTTCAGCTGGATAGTGGCACTACTTCCTGCCAACTCACAGATACTACTCAATAGGGTCAATTCGTGTGGGGCCACCAGTGAAGAGTGAGTTTCTCATCACACCCAGCTTCTGCTTCATAACACAGCAGTTCTGCCAGGCAAGGGTCAAAATCAGCTTCAAAGACTAGGATCTCTGTGACTCTGCCTTGGGACTTAACTTCAAATGGCTAAGACCACAGATCACAGTACTATCCAGGAAACAGTGCAACCAGCCAGCAAATTGTACAGGTTAAAAGCTGGATGTGATATGAATACAGACAGACCAGCTAAAAACTTAAGAGAAAGAGACAAAGATTGCCTGGCTAAACTTAGTTACCTCTGACAGTCAGGTAAACTGTATGCATGCCCAAGATGGCATTCACCAAGGAATGACATCAGAAGCTACACATTACAGAAGAGACAAACTGCACTTAACTAGTCTAGCCAAGTCACTAAATAAATTAGCAAACAACCCTAATAACAAACCCAATGGAGGACTATTATCAGGTTGCTACAACATATCACATAAAATGGCTACTTTTTAACAAAAAACAATGATATGCAAAGACACAGGAAGGTATGACCCATACACAGGAAAAAAAAAAAATGTATGCAATGTAAGTTACCTTGAAGGTGACCCAGATATTAGACTTAGTAGACAAACTTCAAAGAAGCTATCATAAATACACTCAAAGATCTAAAGATATGCATATTTTATTTTGTTTTGTTTTTAATATTATAATTACTTTATTTTTTTAAATTAATTTATTTTTGTTATATGTGTTTCTCCTTTTCTCCCTATTGACACTCTCTTCCCCACTCCCAACCCCCCTTCACAGTATTGTTGTCTATGTCTTTATGCATATAAATTCTTTGGTTTCTCTCCCCCCACCCCCCACAACCTAAGGTTTATCAGTCTGATCCCTATTTCTATGTCTCTAGGTCTATTATATTCCACAAATAAGTGAGATTATGTGATATTTGTCTTTCTCTAAATGGCTTATTTCACTTAATATAATACTCTCCAGGTCCCTAAATATTTTAAAAATGGAAAGAAACTTTAATGACAATACTTCACCAAATATCAAGAAATAGATAGAAATTGTTTTTGGATAAAAAAGGACCAAATATAAATTTGATGGTAGAAAAGAACCAGTGTAAATTTGGAAATGGGAAAAAAGTAACTGAAACAAAAGTAGAATTGAGTTGGCAGAAAAGAGACTAAGTGACCTTAAGGATAGATGAATAGATAGTATGCAATGAGATGAAAAGAGTGAAAAATGAAGAAATATGAACAGACCTTTAGAGAAATCTGGTACACCATTGATCATATCACATCACCAGAGAATAACAGAAAGATATTGAAGGACCAGAAAAATATTCAAAAAAATAATGGCGGAAAACTTCCCAAATTTAATTTTTAAATAAATAATTTACATATTCATGAGGCTACATATGCATGAAGTAGGTTAAACACAAAGGGTGACACACTCAAACACATCATATACTAAAAATGTTGAAAAACAAAACAAAAAAAAATTTTGAAGGAAGCAAAAGAGAAAAATGACTCATTATATGCAAAGAAACCCAAACACAATAAACAGCTGATCTCTTAATAGAAGCAATAAAAGCCAGAGGCAGTAGATGATATATTGTAAGTGGGGAAAGGCAAAACTTATCAGCCAAGAATCTTCTATCCAGCAAAACTTTGTTTCAAAAATTAAGGCAAAATAAGATAAAAGTGAAGTAAAAAAAAAATTAAGGCAAAACAAAAACTGAAAGAATTTGTTGCTAGCACTTTATCTTACAAAAAATGCTAAAGGAAGTTCTTTAGGCTACAAGTGACACCAAAAAAATAAATTAAATTTACATGAAGAAAAACAAAGAATGCTAGTAAAGGTAATAAAGTAAGTTATTTTAAAAAGACAGTGAAAATACATATTTCTTCCCTTTTCTTAACTGATTTTAAAATTAAATGTGTAAATAATGTGCACATAATAGTATTATTGGGCCTATGTCATATAGAAACTTAATATTTTGACAGTAAGATTACAAAGAAAGTTGGTAGCCACAAAGCTGTAAAGGAGTAAGGTAACTCAAATCCACAGAAAGAAATGAAAAGAACAAAAAGAGAGACGATTGATATAATAAACTCTAGAAACATATATTTTTTCTCCTTTTCCCAGTTTTTATAAAACATACATTTATAAATAATTACAACAATGTATGTTTTACCTTAAACATATATTGACAAATATGTATAACAGTAATACAACATGGGAGAGATAATATAGCAAAGAAAGTATAGTAAAGTAAATATAATATGGTAAAATAAATATAATAAATTTTCTGTATCTCTTGGGAATTAAAGTAGTATAAATCTGAAGTAGATTCTGATAGGTTAAGATGCACATTATATGCCCTAGGAAAACCTCTAAGAAAATAACTAAAAGAAAATACAGATTAAAATTTATTAAAGGATGCCCTATGATAAATTTTTTTAAAAGGCATAGACCTAATAGACATTTATAGAACACTCCATGTAATAAAAGCAGAATTCACCTTCTCACATAAACATATAACATTCTCCAAGATAGACCATATGCTAGACAACAAAACACCATCGGTTAACTTGAAAAGAATTAAATGATGCAAAGCATGTTCTCTGACCAAAATGGAATGAAATTAGAAATCAACCCCAGAAGAAATTTTGATTTGTAAATATGTGGAAATACAAGATACCAAAACTTATGGGATGCAGCTAAAGTAGTTCTTAGAGGGATATTTGTAGCTATAAATGACTACATTAAAAAGAAGAGCCCTGGCCAGTTTGGCTCAGCGGTTGAGCATCGGCCTGAGGACCAGAGAGTCCCAGGTTCAGTTCCTGCTAGGGGTACATACCACAAAAAAAAAAAAAAAGAAGAAGAAGAAGAAGAAGAAAGATTCTGAATAAAAATCTTCCACCTTAAGAAACTATAAAAAATAAAATCACATTAAATCCAAAGCAACTAGAAATAATAAAATTTATAGCAGAAATAAATGAAATAGAGAATAGAAAACTAGAGAAAAAAATCAATGAAACCAAAGTTGATTTTATGAAAAGATCAACAAAATTAATAAAACTTTAGCTGGAGTAAACAAACAAAAAATAAGAAAGAATAATCAAATTACTAAAATCAGGAATAAAAGAAGGAAAATTATTTCTGACAGAAAAAAAAATAAATCATAAGAAAATACTAGATAGCCCTGGCCAGTGTGGCTCAGTTGGTTGGGTATTTTCCCGTGCACTGAAAAGTTGTTGGTTTGATTTCTGATCAGGGCACATGCCTGGGTTGTGGGCCCAATCCTCAGTGGGGCATGTGCAGAAGGCAGTTGATTGATGTTTCACTTTCATTGATGTTTCTCT